ATTATTGCATACTGTCGACAAGGGCGCGACGTTTTTCCTGAACTGATTTTTTTTCTTTTTTCTTTTGCTTACTGGTTGAGCTCGGTTTCAGCTCTTACTTGAGTAGTTGATCGGCAAGCCTGATGCAGGTGTATGGAAATTATGTAGTTCCATTAGCTCTGGAGTTGTCCAGTATACTACTGAGGCCTACATATTTTACTGATGCAGGTTGGAGGTGAACATGAACTCTGGCTATTCAAAATACCAGATATAAATAAACTGCAGCACAGACCATGTAGTTCTACAACAACCAAGGAAGAAGTCCTTTTTTTAAGCCGGCCTCAGCCAAACAATTTAAGCTTATATGTTTGCTCTCTATTTTTCGGAGGTGCGCGTACTGAAAGCGCCTATGATTCAGGGCAAAAAATCTGGACAAAGTGAAAAAACTTTGTACGAGTGGTACTTGAAGCCAATGATAGCCCGTTGAAGGATGCTGATTGTGGCTATACAACTTCAACACCGTGCTTGCAACTCATGAGTGACAAAGTATAACATGCCGCCTTTTTTTAAGCAAGCCCCTTCAAATTATGTATGCAGTATGCTAGGAAGAACTCATGACAAAGTCTTGTTTGTATGCATGTCTTAATGTATTTTCATACTGGCTCGAGTAATGTACTCTTGCCCCCGGCATGACACCGCCTTTGCAGTTTATTCTTGTTAGCGCGTTGCTCAATTAGGTTATTCTATTTTCTTTATTCACTGTTGCTGGCATGAATTTGCCCGTGCATTTGGTCCTACCACTGGCAACAATTTAAACCTGTCAATCCAGGAAAGATATGCACATCATCGGTGCACTTTTATTTATTTTGAGTATAAATGAGTAGTTAATTTGCTAATAAATTTGTTTTCTTGTGGGTATATTCATCTCATTAGAAATGTCGTTTGTGTGGCTTTGGTCTTCCTAAATATTGTATGGGTTTTCCCTTTCCTGGTTTAGCTTTTGCGAAACAATTATTATTCTAGCGTGTGATCTACTCATGCCTATTTACCTTACCGTATAGTTTTCCATTCTAGAACACTAGACCTTTCTCCACAGCTGAGATGTTGAGATGACAAGTTTAATTCGTGTTTAATCTTTGCAGATGCAGACTAATTTTGCATCCCATATAGGTCATACAAGAATGTTAAATTCCCTTCATTTTTGTTCACGAAAGTTGCATTACAGGCGATGAGAGACTCAGGATGAGGGCAAAATGGTCTTGACCACTGGTAGACTCTTCTATCGGCTCACCATCACTCCCACGGACAGCGTTGTACTCGAGTCCAGCAATTAAACTTCTGAAGATATCATGTAGGCCGAACCCAAGAGGAAACAGATTACAACTACTTTTTTAAAATATTTTTATTCATAGTTGCATCTCTGTCATGTTCACGTGGACAATGACTATACCTATTATAAGTCCTTGCAAGTTCACACAAGAAATTAGACATCCTGCATTCTTGACTACACAACTGTGATTTCTTGGATTAGGATTTCCTTGTCCTCTTGAACTTCACATGACATCATCAAAAGATAAGTGATGGGCTTTGTATTAAGCTTGACCATGAGAGATGTGGGGATCATGAGGCACACATATATTTCTAACCCCATCCCCCACCCCGCATCAAATTTCTGGATCTAAATTTAGAATTCAATACTCACATGAATTTCATAGGCTACTTTGATCAAGATGACACAAGTGCACACTTAGTACTCCCTCCATTCACAACTATAAGATGTTCTAACTTTTATATGAACGGATGTAGATAGACACGTTTTAGTTAGTTGTTGTTCACTCATTTGAGTCTGTATGTAGTTCATATTGAAATACTCAAATTATAGTATTTGTGAACCGAGAGAATAGTATATAGTGAGCTTCATTTCACCCAAGAGAGCTTCTGTTACATGAAAATTAATTAATTTTCATATGAATTTGGATATTCAATACCCATATGAATTGTATAGGTTGCTTCCTCGAGACGTGCATTGCACGTGTACGTTTACTAGTGAGAAAAAAGTGTTTTATGCTACCTTGACACTTATTTGAAAAGGGTGAGATGCACAACACAAGCGAGTCTTTCGCAGTCGGTAGGTTGATTTGATAATGTTTACCTTGTACTATCTCCATGCAGGCAAAGTATAATTACATTACAACATTCTAAACATATTGCATGTATTATTCATGTGCGGGCTAGGGGGTGACCATATGGTTCTTTCTTCACCATGGGTATTATCGTTATCTTTGTATCAAAACTTATTGTCTTATCTCTCCGGTGACCATATGTTAATGGCCCCTACGTGGCTTGGCGCAAATTTGGGTGTGCGTGCTACCAACTTGGTGCAACCAACTTATGAACGCTTGGCGTGATTGCCCCTTGGAGGTCCGTGTGTGCGTGGAGGCATCTCGAACGGTTGGGCGGGTGACCTAGGGAAGAAGTGGTGTGGATGTATGTTGTGACCTATTGGTGGTAGTCGATGATAGAAATGTTATCAGTTGTGGGTGTATTTCTTCCCATTAGAGGCATTGTCAATGAGTTTGTTTCAACCCCTTGACCATGGCCGCCGCTTTTGAGTAGCCAGTGCGGTATCCCCTTCCCTTGACATTTGGTATGGTGGTGACATATACTGCCCTAGGAGGAAGCCATGCCTGAAAAATGGTTGGTGCGAACAACAACAAGGTTTGAGGCTATTATTCTCTTCCTGAAGGCACTTTCTAAAAACTCTGGGTGGATGATATGCATGATGGTGCAGGTTGACATGGGGCTGGAGATTGCGGTTTGGTGACATGGGGAGGTGCTTGTAGTGGATGAGCAACATCTAGTTTTGGCATGATTGTTTTAGGCAAAGTTTAACTGAATAGTTTCCCGACTGTTAGGATTTTACATGGTTGTCTTCTAATTAATCAACACATCTTTTTTTTTTGAGGATCAATCAACACATCTCCGAAGGTTGATTTTTGGACTAGTTTTTCTTACATCACGACAATTCACTTCCTCGTATTATGAAATATTGAGAATACACTACTCTCTTTGATGATGTATTGCATGGGAGGCGACCACTAGAATAGGCAAATTAACTACATGAATATTGCATCATTTTTCATTTATATCTTCAAGAAAGAAAATTGGACTGTGGTAAAGAACTGCCCTGGATTTTCGTCTTCCTAGTGTGTCCCTCCCACACCCTCTCTTCCATGCGTACAACAACACATAAGCACGATATGAGCAAAGATTCTTCCAATTTCGTATTTTATAGAAGTTTTATCTCCTAAATTTTTATCTCGGTTGATGATCTGCCTTCATCACTGGGGTTTTTCGCGACGGAGATCTTTGAAAGTACATCCCATGTTGACATGTTTCGATAACTTCTTCTTCGTTCACATTTTTCAGATTACTCCCACCTACTTGCCATGTTATTAGTCACCTAGTTGTCAGATTAGACTAACTTGGCTGCCATTGAACATTGATATACACCACTAAAGAATTGATTCATGGTACTTGTGTTGGTTGATGCATTATCTTACTTATTGTTAACACCTGAATACCCGTCTCTCTAGCTTTACACACTCCCCGCGTTACACTGAATAAGAATTATTCCATTTCGTTAAGACAAGACTTTGACCAACAATTACTCTTTTAATATTTGATTTATGTGATACAAAAACACTATCATAACAAAGTATTTTTAAATACAAATCCAATGACACAAATTTCATGTCATATAACCGTGTATTTATGGAGTAACTGGGTTAGGATCCTCTGCAGTACTGTACGGTGCTGTACAGTCACTATCATGTGGGACCGGGCCCCATATGTCATCGACACTACAGCACCATACGATACTGCAGAGGATCTCAACCCGGAGTAACTATTGGTCAAATGCATGTCTTAACGAAACAAAATACATCTTACTTTTAGGAATGGAGGCAGTAACATTGCACTCTTTAAGAACATACAAAATTGTTGTTCCATAACGACGATAAACATAATATGATAGCTGGTAATAACAAAAATTAACTGTTGAAACATATCAACGTAGGATCTTGTTTTGGAGTCCCGTCGAGCCAAATCCATCAGGAAAGATGGATCACTATTTGGATTAACGGCTTGTGAGATAAAACATTTTAAAATTCAAAAAAGAAACATAAGGTAGCAGATTCTTGAATGCATGTAACTTCCGTAGAAATACTACCTCCGTTCCTAAATATAAGTCTTTTTTAGAGATTTTAATATATAGATTACATACGGATGAATATAACATATTTTAGAGGGTAGATTCACTCATTTTGCTTCATATGTAGTCCATATTCAAATCCCTACAAAAAACTTATATTTAGGAACGGAGGGAGCTTCGTTGTTAAATTGCCATTGGGCGAATACCTGAATTTTCCCCGCAAAAAATAAAATAAAATCCAAGACACTATACATAAGGTTAACACACGACACTATTGTGGAGTCATTTGCTCGTGCATAGTGTCAATCACTCCAATCTTTTTAGAGTGATGAAATTCAGATATTGGCCGGCCTTGGTGTGCTACAATGGCACATGGCCGTCGATCAAGAGAGACAAACCGTGGCCTCGCAGGAAACGAACGACCCAGTCTAAGGTGGAATCCACCCACCCACAAGGTGGAGAAGAGAATATCCTCATCATCCACGGCTAACAGTGTTATATGATACTGTACCGATAGCAAAGACATTCCAATCAAACAGAAAGGAACCGAAGTGCAACGAGCACCGTTCGCACCACTTCCAGGCAGCAAAGTTAGAAGAGCCAGCGTCAGAAAAATGGGAAACAACTAGTAGGATTAAGTTCGAAGTAGCTAAAATGTAAGTTTCCGGCAGCACACTAGTGACAATTTCAAAGTCTCTGGGTGAAGTCACCTAAATTACAGGAACAGAAAAGCAAATCAAGCATAGTAGCAACTACAGAACGAAATCCAATATATAGAAGAACCGCACAAGACGCACCCAGACGACCCTTACTTCGCCTCCCTCTCACGATTCCACTGTTCGATCTTGGCCCTGCGCTCCTCGCTGTTCTCCCTCACAGGGCTTCTTGCCCGCCTCGGAGGGCTGCCTCCATACCTACGCCTTCCCCCATCGTCATGCCTTTCATGCCTACTGCTCCCACCCCTCCGTCCACCGCCGCCGCCGCCACCACCACGACGGAAATCATCACGGCCACGATAGTCATCACGGTCATGACGCTCTCTCCTATGGTGTGGGCTTGGGCTGCGGCTCCTTCCTCGTTGCGATCTCCTATAGCGCCCAAAGAGTTTCTTCCTGAGATCCTTACCTATCTGCTTCACATGCATGAAATTGCAGTGCCCACCACGAGTGCAGGTGTTCTCCTCATACTGCCTGCAGGTCGCTTCACGGAAGTCCGTCACAGGAGAGAAGTCAACAATTATTAGGCGACCAGAGTAAAAGCGTCCCTGAAGGGCGGTATGAGCTGCTGCTGCCTGATCTTCCTCTCTGAACTGGACATACACATTGCCTATCATGTGATCAGAAAGGTTGTCACAGACGTTGAGGGTCTCAATCTCACCAAACTTGCTCAGTTCCTCAAAGATATCCTCATAAAAATCTTCAAAATGCTCCTGCATCTTGCGAGGATCTATCGGCTGGCCTTGAGCATCAACCCCAGGGGTAATCATATCAGGGCGCTGATACATGTTCATGAGCACAATAGTAGGTGATATGGTTGGCCTGTTATGGATGCGAGAGCAGCGATCGCCATGACGACAAGCTCCAATCTTGAAGTAAAATGGACAGTTGACCCTGTCTTTCTCTGTACCAAATATCGAAGCCAAGTGTTCCGCCATTGTTTGATATCAGTCAAGCTGACCACAAGCCTGCAAAGTCAAATATTTAGTCATCAAAACACATGTTAGCAGTGCTCCGGTATGCATAAGGCTCTCAGTCTTCAAAAGAGTAGCACCTTGCATAATCAGCCTTTAAATTAATGTCTACATGTTTCATAGACTGCTACCTAAAACTAATTAAACCATGATTTGTTTCAAAACTTACACGGAATAAAAGTAGACGCGAAACAGTGATCAAAATTTCTGATGTTGCAAGAGCTGCTAGTTGATGCAAGAGAAACAGAAGGGAAAATTGTACTCCCTCTGTCTCATAATGTAAGACGTTTTTTGACACTAGTGTAGTGTGAAAGAACGTCTTAAATTATGGGATGGAGGGAGTATACGCCAGATTCTAACCCATGTAATCTCACCGAAGAAAACTGCCTTGTGCACAACTAGTCTTAACAGGTTCTATCTATTTCAGAAACTGCGTTTCAGATGTTTTTCTAAGTGGATGAAGCTCTAATAGCACGCCATACTTTTATTTACTATCTTTAACATTACAGATTGGCAACCAGTACTTGGAAGGACTTCAATTGAGCATCAAAGATTATTTTCTAAGGAGGAGCAGCTAGGGCCTGCAGTACAAAGCATAACAATCACACATTCTTGCAAGACAACACTAATCCATACTGCGTCTTATGACCTAACTCAAAACAGTTAATATTGAAACATGCAGGATATACAAAATAAATCATACACAGGGTTACAATGTTTTTCGAATGAAGCCATTATTTGGCCTAAAATCCGAACTGCGTTCAGATAGTAAAAAGCAAACAACAAAACCCTGCAACTGGATAAACAAGATAAATTTTCAAACTAAGATGCTTAGTGCCTCTGTCCCTGCAACTGCAGAAGAGCCCACAAAACCAAAAGGCACAAACAAAGCAACTTTTTGTGTCGCACATGAATACTTCCTTCTCAGGTAGCCCATGCTATATCCGTCCAAAAAGAATTCTATTTCGTCCATTTAAAAACCTAATCTGCACACCATTTTAGATCATTAAATCGGTGAAAAAAGGTCCAGGAAATATACTACTATCCAGAATACTATAGTACAAAGATGTGGAGCACTTTGATATATGTATAATTAGAGCAGAGTACATGCTTAACCCACAAAGGAGCAAAATAATAATATAAATAACATAATTTGCTGTCATGCTGGGTGAAAATTCTGGTCTCGCATTTCAGAGACTATCATAGCCAGTGCCACATATATGAAACGAGCCACAAGATTGGTCCAGTAGTTGGAGTCTCGGAGAATTATTTGAAACTTTGCAAGTTTTTCCCCTAATAATACAATAAAATTAGTCATGACCAAATGATATGCTTTGACATAAAAATTATTATGTGATTGAGAAGTTATCTCTTACAGCACCTTGGTGTGCAAGGTATATCTCTCCTACACCGCGAGCTGGCTAGTACAAAAGAAGGGACACCTCCCAGACAGCTGCCGGGCAAGGTTTGCGTGCAAAGCAAAATTATGGTTGTTATCACTAGCAACACAACTGATACATACTAGTTTCATGTCCAACCATCGAATTTCTGTGTTGCAAAGAAGAGAAAATTGATGAGGGGTGGTTCAACCCGCGATTTTTCTACCCCACGGTTGCACCACCAGACGCAAAGGTATTATCATACCCCCAGCTACATACCCAAAACGAGGGCCTACAACGAGATGAAAATTGAACGGGGGTGGTTCGGCACGCGGATTCGCGAGGTCGGGACAAGATCCTCTACACGGATCTAATTTTTCCTACTTCCTGGAATCCAAAATCGAGAGTAGGAATCGGCAGATTCGCGGGGTCGAATCCAAAAAGGTCGCGTCGAGATCTGGTAAAGCGAGGGGAGAAGGGTTAGGGTTTTAGAGGGGAGGAGACGCGCACCTGTGAAGCGACGAGTCGGAGGAGGGTCGTCGACAGCTGCGCTCGCACCGACGAGAGAGAGAGAGAGGGAGGGTGGGGGGACGAGCGAGCGGCGTTTGTGGCGGCTCGATGAGGCGTCCCGTCCCTATATACCGCCCACTCTGCGTGGAGAGTCCTGTACCGGCCCGATTTATTCGAGTCCCTTGGACACTCCTGGACCGGCCCGGTTTATTCGAGTATGTCGACGGGTCGGACTGTCGGTTTCGGACAGGATTTAAAAGGCAAAACTTTTATGGGCTTCGATGCGGTGATTCTGCCCACACGACCACATTGAAGCCCGGGTATTTCCACTGTTCAAATCAAAAGAAAAAGAAGCTTCTTCGGGATCTGATGCAGAACCAATCCAATCCATACCGCTATGTAGACGACAAATTGATGACTTTTGGTTTTGGATACATGACAATGTGTAATAATAATATTTGCATTAATAATTGTATTTTTTGAACATCAGTACACGCATACACTCACCCCTATGAAGGCACGCACGCACACCCTATCCCTATGAGCGCCTTTGATAGACTGAGCCGCCGTGTCATCTTGAAATTTACAAAGTCACCGTAGGCACTTCGTCGTCGACGGGAACATCCCCTCCCACTGAAAGCGCATCGCCGGAAATCCTGAAATAAATCCAGCAATAATGCGAGCATCAGGACTTGAATCCTGGTGGAATGGGGATACCACTGTCAGGGAGATTTCGGGGGCCCGGGGCGAAAATAAAACTTTGGCCTGTTAATACTCGTAATAATATGTGGATTGCATATGCATACAGTCATGTCTCGGCACATAATACATGAGTAAATCTCTAAAATAATGTTTTGGAACTTTGGGTCCTAAAATGCACAAAGACAAAAATAGGAAGTACATAATATAGATAAAATGAGTTTTTTTTATTGCACAATAGTTTAAAGCTCTTGAATTTGCAATGATGTGAGTGAATATACATGCAATCACATAAGACAATTTGTAAGGGCTTTAAACTCAAATCTATTGAAAATAAATGTGTAGCCAAAATACAGCAAAAATTCTATGAAAATATCTCATTTCAATCCAAGAAACTTTCAGCACTAAAGTTCTGCAATTTACTAAAAGTAACAGTAGCTTCACCATTGGTTACGAGCATGTATACCTCACAAATTGCTGAATTTCAGAACGGTAATACGATACACATCGGTTGATCGGTAATCTGGGGCTTGGTCATGACGCGATGTGGAATGGACGGGCGTCTGGCGGGAGGCACTTGGCCATGCGGTCTGGCCGTGCATGCGCGTGTGCGTCCGGCGCATGGAGACTGGAGTCTCGCGAGAGGAGTTCGTCGGCGTCCGTGCATGGGTACTCGCGATCGGAGCGCTGGGTCTGGTGGAATTAGGGATAAGTAGCGATCTTTTTAAGATAGTAGTAATGTTGTTAGAAAAAAAGAAGACTCTAGCGATCTTGTTGTTGGAGAAAATGCTCGCGATCTAAACGAAAACAAGGCAGGCCCCGTGTACCGGGGCTATCTACGTGATTGCTCTCCTAATGAGAGAAGAGCGTCCAGATGCGACGAAGGACGCGGGCTGCTAGCTAGACCTGGGATTTTTTCACGATCTGTACTTTGGGCTATGTGCACCTAGCCAGGGGAGGGGCCACTTGAATGTCGGGGGCCCGGGGCGGCCGCCCCTTCCGCTCCCCTCAAAACTGGCCCTGACCACTATCTCTCTAACCATCGAATCACAGGTTGGTTCGCACATTGATAATTATATTGCTCATATGCCATAGCATATATAGAGTACATGGGCTGCGAGATCTCAACCGTATACGCTATACAAGAATTGGGAGATATCGCTAAGCTAGGAAGTAAATACAAGAGATCCTAGCCGTCAGATATACATGCAATAACAACCATGCTCAACCCTCCCCTCTTCCCACAGTCGATACGTCACTAGTGATGAATAAACTGGACCGAAACTCCTCAAATGTAGTCGTCGGTAACCCCTTTATCATGACATCGGCAAACTGCTGCGTGGTGGGTACGCGCAGGACACGGACGTGTCCGAGAGCCACCCGCTCACGCACGAAGTGAATACAAGCTCAATGTGCTTCGTGCGGCGATGATGAACGGGGTTGGCGGAGAGATAAATGACGGAGACGTTGTCGCAATACACCAATGTAGCGCGAGTCCCGTCGTGATGTAGCTCCTGAAGAAGTTGTCGGAGCCAGGAATACTCAGCAACGGCGTTGGCCACATCCCGATACTCAGCCTCAGCGCGGGAGCCTGATACCGTGGGTTGTCGCTTGGACGACCAGGAGATGAGAGAGGGGCCAAGGTAGACGCAATAGCCAAAAGTGGAGTGACGAGTGTCTGGACAGCCGACCCAGTCAGCATCGGAGTAGGCAAGCATGTCTATGGAGGAGGATGTTGTGAGGCTGAGACCAAGAGCATAGTGTCGCGGATATACTGAAGGACCCGCTTCACCAGGTTCCAGTACTGTCTCTAGGAGCGTGCATATGAAGGCACACCTACTGCACGACGTAGTGTAAATCCGGTCTGGTGAGTGTCAAGTACTGGAGTGCACCCACGATGGAGCGATAGAACGATCCGTCCGATGCGGGAGAGCCGCCAAGCGTATAGAGCTTAGCCTTTGTGTCAATAAGAGTGGCAATAGGCTTGCAGTTAAGCATGTCGGCGCGCTCAAGGAGCTCATGTGCGCACTTCTGCTGATGAAGGAAGAAGCCGTCAGAACGCCGAACCACCTCGATACCGAGGAAGTAGTGGAGTGGCCCCAAGTCCTTTAGGGCGAACTTGGCGCTGAGCCGAGCGGTAAGCTGTCCAAGAAGCTCAGCCGAGGATGCCGTGAGGATGATGTTGTCCACATAGAGGCGAAGGTATGCGGTGCCATGGTCGTGATGGTACATGAACAGTGAGGCATTGGAGCGAGTAGCTCAGAATCCCATCTGCTGAACAAAGGTGGCGATGCACTGGTACCAGGCCCTCGGCGCCTGCTTCAACCCGTACAGAGAGTGGGAAAGCAGGCACACATGATCGGGGTGAGTGGCATC